CGCCACTGCGCTCTAGCCTGGCGACAGAGCAAGACTCCGCCTCAAAAAAAAAAAAAAGAACAAGATCATGTCCTTTGCAGGAACACGGATGGAGCTGGAGGCCATTATGTTTAGCAAACTAACACAGGAACAGAAAATCAAATACAGCATGTTCTCACTTAACAATGACAAAAACACATGGACACATTGAGGGGAACAATATATACTGGGGCCTATCAGAGGGTGGAAGATGAAGGGTAGAAAAGAGGGAGAGGATCAGGAAAAATAACTAAAGGCTTAACACCTGGGTGACAAAATACCTGTACAACAAACTCCCATGATACAAGTGTACCTATATAACAAATCTGCACATGTACCCCTGAACTACAAAGTTAAAACAAATTGCTAGACAGCTGGGTTGTTTCCAGCATTTAGTTATTATAAAATTACTATGAACATTCATGTGCAAGACTTTTTATGACACATGATTTCATTTCATTGAGTAAATACCTAGGAGTGGAACTGTTGGGCCATATGGTAAATGTATGTTTAACTGTATAAGAAATTACGAAACCATTTTCCAAAGTGGTTATGTCAGTGCCTGTAATCCTAGCTACTCAGAAGGCTAAGATAGGAGAATCGCTTGAACCTGGGAGGTGGAGGTTGCAGAGAGCCAAGATCGCGCCACTGCACTTCAGCCTGGGCGACAAAGTGAGACACTGTCTCAAAAAACCAAAGTGGTTATGTCATTTTACACTTGCATCTGCTGTTTTTTGTTTTGTTTTGTTTTGTTTTTGTTTTGAGACAGTTTTTTGCTCTTCTTGTCCAGGCTAGAGTGGAATGGCACAATCTTGGCTCACCGCAACCTCCTCTTCCCCGGTTCAAGCAATTCTCCTGCCTCAGTCTCTCAAGTAGCTGGGATTACAGGCGCCTGCTACCAAACCTGGCTAATTTTGTATTTTTAGTAGAGATGAGGTTTCCCCATGTTGGTCAGGCTGATCTTGAACTCCCGACCTCAAGTGATGCGCCCGCCTCAGCTTCCCAAAGTGCTCAGATTACAGGCGTCAGCCACCACGGCAGGCCTGTTGTCAGTCATTTTAATTTTAACTACTCTAGTAGGTGTATGACATTGTCTTTCTAACTTGCATTTCCATAATGACTAATATGTTGGGCATCATTTCATGTGTTGATTGATAATCTACACATCTTTTGGGGTATATCTGTTCAAATCCCTTTCCATATACAGTTTGCCATCTGTATCCATGGATTCTGTATCCATGAATTCAACCAACTTTGAATAAAAAATAATTGGAAAAAATACATTTGTATCGAACATGTATGCTTTTTCCCCCTTGTCATTATCCCTAAATAATATAACAACTATTTATTTAGCATTTACATTGTATTAGGTATTACAAGTAACCTAGAGATGATTTAAAGTATACAAGATGGGCTGGGCGCAGTGGTTCACACCTGTAATCCCAGCACTTTGGGAGACCAAGGCAGGAGGATCATTTGAGGTCAGGAGTTCGAGACCAGCCTGACCAACGTGATGAAACCCCGTCACTACTCAAAATGCAAAAATTAGCCGGGCATAGTAATGTGCATCTGTAGTCCCACCTACTCAGGAGGCTGGGTCGGGAGAATTGCTTGAATCTGGGAGGCAGAGTCAGTATCAAGCCATTGCTCTCCAATACAGAGTGAGATGCCATCTCAAAACAAATAAATAAATAAATAAAGTATACAAGATGATGTACAAGGATTATATACAAATATTATACCATATACATGAGCATCCGTGAATTTTGGTATCTGTGGGAAGTCCTGAAACCAATCCCCTATGGATATCAAGGGATGACTACACGAATGCAGGCAAACATATTTAAAATATATATAGTAAATACCAGTTTTCACCTTCTGCCATAAAATTTCTCTATAAATTCTAGATATAATCCTTTACCAGATAGGTGTATTTCAAATATTTTCTCCCAGTCTTTGGTTTGCCTTTTCATTTTCTTTTTTTTTTTT